TGTCAATAGTGAGAGATTAGCACTAGCTTGATTGAGCAATCCAAAAGGACTTGCCAAGAATCTCTCTTGAAATGATTAATCTGTTGGCACTGATGAAGAGAACAAAGTCAGAGAAGGTATATATATATATATATATATAGAGAGAGAGAGAGATGAGTCGGAACACGTGATTTTAACGTGGTTCGGCCAATATGGCTTTACATCCACGTCCCGGAGATAGTTGCCACTATCTCACGAAAGACTCTAACTTTTATTAAAATAAAAGAATCCCTAACCTATGAAATGGAAACAACCTTGACACTTTGTGTCAAGAACCAAATAGGTGCAACTCCACACCTATTCAACCCTTAGCTAAAACCAAGCTAAGCTACCCACTCAATCAATCAAGCCAACACTCTTAGTTTGACTTGATTGAAGAGTAATCCACCTAGTGCAACTCCCAAGCAAGAATCCCCTCTTGCTCTTGCACTAGTCCCAATTACAAAAACCCTTTCTACCCTAAAACCCGACCTAGCTTGAATATCTCAACCCCCGAGATATCAAGCTATTCACACCACGAAATATGATCACACAATTTCGCTATTACAAGGGAGAAGAGAAGTTTGCAAAAGGTACTCTAATCTACAAATGACTCTCCTATTTATAGTGAAAGCAAAACTTCATTTCCTTTCATTTGTATTCCTTTATATGGCAAGTATCTCCTTGATTTGATATGCTCTTCACTTGATATGGTAGCTTCTTGAAGACCAAGCAATTGCTTTGAATTCTTTCCTCTTCTTAGCATATCTTTTTAAGACCTTGGTTGTGATATTTCTGCAAGAATTGTTAGTCTAAAATAATAGCACATATTCAAGACAACATATCCTAAGATAATAAATTGCTAAGTCAAGCTTTTTGACTCAACGGACTATAGAGTACAGACATGACAAATTGCAACTTCCCTGCATAGCTTAAGTGCTTACACCCCCAGTTCTGAATTCTACTCATCAGTTTGTCAATTAGAGGTCGACATGCTTCAATTGAAAGGTTGCTTGAAATTAAGGGTACACCCACCTAAGCACCTTATTGGAAGAGTTCCAAGCTTATAACCAGCATAGGTAGCCATATTCTCTTTCCATGTTTGTCGGAACCCTCCACAGAACAGTTCACACTTGGAAGGATTGGATTTGAGACCTGACAGCACCCGAAACTCAGCAAGAACTTGTTGGATGCATTGTAACCCGTAATTAGATCCATCAAAAAATAGAAGTAAGTCATCAGTAAACATGATATGTGTGAGACCAATCCTTTTACACATAGGGCGATGTTATGGGACAATCCAAGTACCACATCGGAAATACAAGGGAGTTAACCCTTGTATATATAAGTGTCCACCAAACTCATTAGTACGAGGCCTTTTGGAGAGGACACCCAAGAGTAAAACCGTGTGGGCTTGGCCAAAAGCGGACAATCTCGTACTAATTGAGCGGCCCTATTTGACAAGTGGTATCAGAGCCTGGTTCGACAGAACTGGGGTGGTGGACGTCATTTTGGTGGGACCCTCATTCGGTGACCTTGGGGGTTGAGATCTGCCTTTGTCTGGCGAGTCAAAGGTGATTCGTGTCTGTTTGGTGGATCCAGGAGAGATCCACGTTTGGGCTTGGCAGATCAAAGAGAGTTCCACATTTGAGAAGCAGATCAAAGAGAGTTCCACGTCTGGTAAAGTCCTTGTACCAAGAAGCCCATCGATACAAAAGCGTTTGGCAGATCAAGATAATCGCTGAGGTGAGGACACAAAGTTTGTGGTCCTTGTCTTGAGGGGAGGATTGTTATGGGACAATCCAAGTACCACATCGAAAATACAAGGGAAGGAACCCTTGTATATAAGTATCCACCAAGCTCATTAGTACGGGGCCTTTTAGGGAGGACACCCAAGAGTAAAACCGTGCGGGTTTGGCCCAAAGCAGAAAATATCGTACTAATTGAGTTGCCCAGTTATGACAAGTGGTATCAGAGTCTGGTTCGGCGGATTTGGGGCGGTGGACGTCAGTTTGGTGGGAGCCTCATTCGGTGACCTCGAGATTTGAGATTTGCGTTTTTCTGGCGAGTCAAAGGTGATTCGCATATGTTTGGTGGATCCAGAAAGATCCACGTTTGGGCTTGGAGGATCAAAGAGAGTTATGCATCTGGTAAAGTCCTTATACCGAGAAGCCCATCAATACAAGGCGTTTGGCAGATCAAGATAATCACCGAGGTGAGGACACGAAGTTCGTGGTCCTTGTCTTGAGGGGAGGATTGTTATGGGACAATCCAAGTACCACATCAGAAATACAAGGAAAGGAACCCTTGTATATAAATGTCCACCAAGCTCATTAGTAAGAGACCTTTTGGGGAGGACACCCAAGAGTAAAACCGTGCGGGCTTGGTCCAAAGTGGACAATATCGTACTAATTGAGTTGCCCGGTTATGACAAGTGGTATCAGAGTCTGGTTCCGCGGATTCGGGGCGGTGGACTTCAGTTTGGTGGGACCCTCATTCGGTGACCTCGGGATTTGAGATATGCGTTTGTCTGGTGATTCAAAGGTGATTCGCATTTGTTTGGTGGATCCAGAGAGATCCACGTTTGGGCCAAAGAGAGTTCCGCATATGAGAAGCAGATCAAAGAGAGTTCTGCGTCAAGTAAAGTCCTTGTACCGAGAAGCCCATGGATACAAGGCGTTTGGCAGATCAAGATAATCGCTGAGGTGAGGACATGAAGTTCGTGGTCCTTGTCTTGAGGGGAGGATTTTTTATGGGACAATCCAAGTACCACATCGTAAATACAAGGGAAGGAATCCTTGTATATAAGTGTCCACCAAACTCATTAGTACGAGGCCTTTTGGAGAGAACACCCAAGAGTAAAACCGTGCGGGGCTTGACCCAAAGCGGACAATATCGTACTAATTGAGCGGCCCGGTTTGACAGGTGAAATAGTAGACGATTCTCCGAGACTGCTTCTTCCATTAGACAGCTAAATGCTTTCATTCCAATAGCGAATAAGTAAAGAGACAAAGGGTCTCCTTGACGAAGACATTTTGAGCAGCAAAGTACCCCACAACCTCCCATTGAAACTCGCACTTAGCTTTGGGGTTGTGATACCTAAAAAATTTGTATCATAAAGAAAATTGTATAAAAAATGTATAGAATCCGTTTGACCATAACAACCTTTAAAATAAAAACGAAAGGATCCATGGTTATGATTATAGTAGTGGATCCAGGGGCGAAGCCAGGAATTCAAGTCCGGGGGAGCCGAATTTTTTTTTTTCAAGCAAAAGAATACTATAAGAAAATATCATATATAATTTATTAGTTTAAATGTACACAACATCTTTGAAATTATCACATCACTCAAAATATCATATATGTGACATCTCGTTCAATTAAATAACAAGACCATCGACGAGAAAATCATCAATCATTTGTTGCATTGTTTAGTCACTAATTGCATGATAGAAAAAGTCTGTTCACCTCTAGCAGTAGAAATTAGAAGAGTCAAAGCAAGACTAATAATCTAAAGGCTGCTAGAGATTAGAAGAGTCAAAGCAAGACTAATAATCTAAAGGGGAACACTTTCTTGCAAGATCGCATATCACACAAGACGGACATACTAAGTTAGTTGATAATTCAATAAATAATAATTGAACAATAAAGAAAATAAAACATTTGTCTAAATTTAGTCCAAAGTGGAACTAAAGTGGAAAACTGAAATTATAGGTAGTGAAATGTGTACAAAAGGTAGAAAACATCAATAAAGGATAAAATTATTAAAACATAGTCAGCCATAGAACTTGAACTGCTGACTCCCTGAATGCAGATGACAGCTTCCACCACTAGACTATAACAAGATTTGTGTCTTACTCATACCACTACATTATATTATTCGTGTCCCTGAAATTCTCGGGGGGGCCATGGCCCCCCGGCCACTGCACTGGCTCCGCCCCTGAGTGGATCTCCGATCGAATATTTGCATGCTTCATTTCTGGTCACTGGCCCGGAAATTATGCACTCAGTCCGTCCGTCCGTGATTATGTGATGATCTTGTGTAGTTGCGTGTGAATTAGTATTACCGGTTATTAACAAAACCAGTATCTGCTCACGGGTATGAATTCTAAAGTTTGAATCAATGACAACAAACCGATAACAACCTCAAGACAAACAAACACTCTTTCTCTCAAAATTGAAACTTTCTTCAACCATCAGAAAATTCATGAACTAGGAATCGCCGTTCAATTTTGATCCTATACAAAGTATAACTCTCTCTCTCTCTCTACCAACTACCACATTCCATTCTAGATCCCACAAAACAACCCTATTCCGCCGGCTAATAGGAAAGAAAGGAAATTGAAAAGAGAGAACAAGGCAAGTCTTTCAATTGGAAAAGACCAAAAAAAAAAAATGTCAAGACGAAATGGACTCATAACTTAGTATTTACGACGAACCTCACACACATACATACAAAGAAAGGGTGATTGAGCATTATAGTTATTATGAACCCTTTTGTTTGCTTCAGTTATCAAACACACCACTATCCATTTCTTCCATCATAAAATTGCCAAAAGTTCATAGGATATTTGCATTCTGATGTGCAACTATCGTTTAGGAACCTAAGATTGATATATAAGAGCATTTTAGAGTCGTTTCGCAACCATGTACTCTGTGTCAACTAATTCTCGAAATATATAGTTTCTCACATTACATTGTTCTCTTTATTGGAATTTAATATAATTTTCAGGATTTTCGAACATCATATAATTGCACAGTACAAATCAACATGAATTATGCAATATTTAAGGTTCACGTTACCAAACACGGTATTATAACATTACATGAATTCTTACAATCTCTCCCGCAATACATATGATATTTTGATCATCATAAGCTAGGGCCTAGGAGGAGGACATGCTAGAGTTGAATATGAAGATCGATAGGACGTGTTTGGTAACCAAACAAAATATAGGAACCAATACCACAATAACCCTAAAAAAATAACAAGTCGGAGGGAATCATTGTCAAAGTGGGAAATCAAGAAAAATAAATAAAATAAAATAAAACCTCAAAAAAATTCTCTCATTTTCATTTCACACTCTATCATCAATTTCATCATATGCCCATCTCCCAAGTTCCTTCCTTTTCCCAATTTCCCATCACGAAACCATGGAGCCCTCCACCGTCTCCTCCACTCCACCTTCCCCTTCTTCAACCAACTCAATTTTCACTACCGCCGGATTATTATAATTCTATTTTCCCTCGACGAAATCTCCGACCTTCATAACCCAATTCCCAATTTTCTCTTCTCCAAAAACACATATGTAATACCATGTTGGCCACTTTCCTCTTCCTCCTGACCACAATTCCCTCTCTCCTTCCCTCCATCACTCCGGCCGCCGCCGCCGGAGGCGACCACCAACTCTCCGCCGCCTCCACCTGCGTCACCACCTGCGGCGCCACCCACCTAAACTACCCGTTCGGATTCTCCCCGGGATGCCACGTCCGCCTCACCTGCTCCCCGGCCGGACAGCCCTTCATCGGAGAATTCCCCGTCTCCGCCGTCGACAACTCCACCATCAGGATCAACATCAACCCCACCTGCGGCCGGCCCATCGCCGTCCTTCAATCGCTCTTCACCAAAAACTACGCCCCCAAATCCAGCAACGCGATCCTCCTCCACAACTGCACCGACGTGTGGACGTGCAACATCCCGACGATCGACGTCCAGACCCACTTCGAGCCGGTCAACTCGGTCAACTGCTCCGGCCGACCCGGGGGGACCAACGGCAGCCTCAGCTGCTTCTCCGACTCGCTGACGTGGAACGGGCTGTTCGATTACGCCAACATGACGCGCCACACGGACTGCGAGTACCTGATGTCGTCGATCTCGGTGGAGTATGCGGTGGCCGGGGATCATACCTCCGGCGTGTCGCTGGAGGTCCAGATGATGGAGCTCGAGTGGTGGATGGACGGCAGGCGTTGCGCCACGTGTTCGGAGGATGCCGAGTGCCGGGTCGTGAATACGACAGACTGGAGGCGGCCCGGGTATCGGTGTGGATGCCGGCGTGGGTTCTCCGGCGACGGGTACCGCGATGGCGTCGGCTGCCGCAAAGGTCAGGTCGTTTTAATTTTTTAATTTATGAGGTGGATTTCCTCTTTTGAATTTGTGGCAAACGACGTAATTATCGCCATCGGGGCGGCTAAGTATTAATTAAGATGATTGATTAGGCAATTAGTCTGTTATTTTATGGTATAAAAAATATTTTTCCTAATCACGTACGGAGTGGAGTGAAGTAAAGTTAAAGGCACAATAATTCGGAGATTTATTTTCCTAAATTTATTGGCATTTTTTTCTGATATGATAAATTTATTGGCATTCATTGTGTTAATTTAGTACGGTTGGAGCAGAAAAATCTAAAATTCAGGGACTAAAATAATAATTTATGTTTCTTGTGTGGTCCTTTTGCTTAGTCAAAAATAATAATGAGTATTCAACTAACAAATAATAATGAGCAAAAGCTCCAAGGAATGGATCCGACGTGGATTGAGCGTGAAGAGATAGAATCAGAGATAAGGGCCCATTAATCATTTTATCTTCGGAAGTAGGCCCGATGTATTATTGGGTATGACATGAAACAATTAGGCCAATGTCTATTTTTTACCCAAACATTTTTCAGATTCTTTTATTTTAACCAAACTTATAGAAATTCTATTTATTATCCAAACGTATTATAATTTATCAAAGTCAGGGCATTCATTCTGTTATCGTTACTTATTTCTTCCACGTGAGGGGTGGGATTTTGTTTCGTTTTTTGATAATCTTTTTATTAAAAATAGTAAATGATGGTATTCTGACCGTCATGTAGGAAGTCAACTCATTATGGTCATACTTAGTCAGCATTACTAACAGAAAAGTTGACGGAGAGTTAAAGTTTGGATAATTTTTAGGAATTCAATAAGTTTGGTTAAAATAAAAGAATCTGAAAAAGGTTTGGGTAAAAAATAGAGATTGTCCAAACAATTAACAAGAAGGTTGTCAAACCAATTTATATTGTGCTGGTTTGACAAGTGAAATAGTACGATCGGTGGTACAATTTTTTTGTGTCGGTTCATATCGGTTTAAGAAATTATGTAAGAATATCAAAATCATTAAATATTCGATTAATTTAATCCTATGTAAAACATATGTGAGGACAATTTACTGACAATCCAACAAAAATATATCAACTTTTGACTTTTAAATTCACTAAAAGAACATCATTTATTTAGAATTCGTAAATCAATCTTACCTGTCATATCAATGGTGTTAATGTCGGTTTCACGACCGGCATCGTTTGAACCAGGTTCAACCGGCCGGCATGACAACCATGCCAATATGCCACTTGAGTAGTACAATTTCAACGGCCAATTCCACCCTACGTCACTCTCTGCTGGGCTTACCTCCAAATTCATTTTAACCAAGAGCATGAATTTCTTAATCGATGTGATGAGCTCAAAAGTATATGGGAGTTGGTTAGATTAGGTGGTGACTTTTCTTTTACTTAATTACCTTCCACAACGTGGATGACCATTCACCATCATCATCACCTTATCCGCAAATGCATGGGCTCCTCCATAATAACACATTTAATTTATAGCGGCGGCTACTCTCCTCCATATTAATATAGTTTCAAATTTCTAATTAAGAAAAATCATTACTATCATGTTGACGTTTCTTCGCTTTGTGAATTGTATAAACAGACTCATGCAGATCCTCTGAATACTTGCTGGGCTACTGCAGACCCATTGGTATTGCCATCTTAACTGGAGGTAATTAATGTCTGTGATACATAAACTTCTTTTACACTCTTTGGTACGAAAATCATGTAATTTAGAATACATGTTATTTCGCAATGTGTCATAGTAGGTAATGTTTCACTTGTAATGCCATCACCAATTTCCTTTCGTAATCCTTCCTGTCGCAGGATTCGGCGCAGCAACAGCGCTAATCCTCGGCCTCGCCTTCGCCTGCTGCTTCATCCGAAGGCGATCGGCCTCGAACGCCGAAAGCTCCACGAAGCGCCGATTAGCCGAAGCCAAAGGGATCAACATCACAATCTACCAGTACAAAGAAATCGAGAGAGCCACCAACGGGTTCTCCGACACACAGAGGCTCGGAACAGGGGCATACGGCACCGTTTACTCCGGCAAACTGCACCACCGCGGTGGCAGCGACTCCTCGTTGGTCGCGATCAAGCGCATCAAGAACCGCGACACCGAGAGCATCGAGCAGGTCCTGAACGAGATCAAGCTGATCTCGTCGGTCAGCCACCCGAATCTGGTTCGATTGCTGGGTTGCTCCATCGAACGAGGCGAGCAAATCCTCGTCTACGAGTTCATGCCCAACGGCACCTTGAGTCAGCATTTACAAAGGGAACGTGGGGATGGGCCGTTGTCGTGGCCCGTCCGCCTCGCGATCGCTCTGGAAACGGCCCAAGCCATAGCCCATCTACACTCGGCAATCGACCCGCCCATTTATCATAGAGACATTAAGACCAGCAACATATTGTTGGACCTGGATTTCAAGTCCAAAGTTGCCGATTTTGGGCTTTCCAGGCTGGGGAAGCCCGGGATGCCCGAGATCTCGCACATCTCCACCGCGCCGCAGGGGACGCCCGGCTACCTCGACCCGCAGTACCACCAGAACTTCCATCTCTCCGACAAGAGCGACGTCTACAGCTTTGGAGTCGTTTTGGTAGAAATTATTACGGCGATGAAGGCCGTGGACTTCTCCCGGCCGTCGAGCGAGGTCAATCTGGCGAATCTGGCCGCGGATCGGATAGGCAGCGGGCGGCTGGATGAGATCGTGGATCCGTTTCTGGATCTGAATTCCGACGCGTGGACGCTCTCTTCGATTCACCGAGTGGCGGAGATCGCGTTCCGGTGTCTGGCGTACGACAGGGAGCTGCGGCCGGGGATGATTGAGGTCGCGGCAGAACTGGAGCAAATTAGGGATTGCAGATCGGCGGAGTCAAGGAAGAGCCACGGCGACAGTAGCGGGGGTGGGTTGGGGTCGGAGATCTCGCCGTGCTGTTCGTCTTCGTCGACGAATGATAGTGAGAAGCCGCTGAGTTTGAGTTTTTATAAAGGTGAGATGCGCAGCGACTGTTTGGTTGTGGTGAGGACGGAGACGGATTGTGTGAAGGCGGCGGAGAGATCGGTTAAGGAATATTCGCCGGTGTCTGTTCGGGACCCGTGGCTCAGTGAGCAGAGCTCGCCCGGATCGAACAGCTTCCAGAATGGCGGCGGCGGAGTAGCTCGGTGACTGGGGGGCGAGATCCGTTTGATTGATTTAGAACCGCGTGAAAATTGTACAAAACTTTTAGCTTTTATGTTAGTGCTATTTCTTTTTTTGGCAGTTTATATTAGTTCTTTGTGATTCACATAGGCTGGGCTTTAAAAAGGGAAAAGCGAAGCGAATGAGCTGTTTCTACCGGGCTCTCCGGACCGAACAACTATGTGCTCGTCAACTTTCACGGTCATGGATGGAAATTGGTCGTGTTTCTCATATCCGGACTCTTAGCCATGGATGATAGTAGATTAGTACTTAGTAGTTAAATTTTGAGCGACTTCCGTCCGACGATTAAGGTTGTATTCGTTGGAAGTTCGTAAACATAAACAAAACAAAAAACTAGTACCACACTTAATTTATCATTTGATGAGCCCGTTTGTAAAAAAAGCTTATCTATTTTTTTTTTTATAAAAGGACATGTATTGTTTCATACTAATAAGTAGTAATAGTACAGGAAACAAGAAGTGAAAATAAGAAAATAGGTGGTTTGGAGGCCCAAATTTCAGTCTCCTCCCAATTACAAAAAGTGTGGGTCATTAGATGAGTTGTCTGGCTACTATTATGGCCCGAGAAAGTGACCCAATTTCAGCCCAATTCTTGAAGTCTCTCATGTAGCTTCTCACACGACACAGGCCAATATTTCCTCTAAGATAGCCATTTCTTCTCTCTGCAATTTCTGGACAACACTCAGACAATCGCTTTCTATCTAACAGGGGAAGAAACCATGCTCCACCGCCAAATCCTCTCCCAACTAATCGCTCTGATTTCCGCGATCTCTGGCACCCACTAGATCGTCCTACTTCTCCTCACTGCTGCTAAACAGAAATTGCCCACTTTGTCCCGAATTACAGCTCCGAAAGAAGATCCCTCTTCTTAAAAATATGCAGCATCCATATTCACATTGAAATCAGCAATAAATGGCGGGCTCCAATGATACTCCCTTCTTCCTTGACTGACCATTTGCTTCTGCTGGTGTTCCCAGCACTCTTCGAGCCATCTACCTGCTTTACTCATAATTTCAAACTCTTCGAGTTTCTTCTTATTCCATAACTGACTGTTTCTCTCTTCCCAAACGAATCATAGGGCCACGATGAATTGACCCAGCTGCTTGTTTGATGTCATTTCTTGCAGCTCGGCCATCCACTCCTAACAGGAGGTAAGGTCTCGTCCCTTCTTAAATAGTAGATTTAGATTGCTAGGTCGACATACCCTCCTGACCCATCCGCACTCTTGAAAGTGGTGTTTATGAGTTTAGCCCGCAAAATGGATAAATTCTACGTTTGGTTACCCAAAGACTATAAATCTTTTACGTTTTACACCTAAATTACTTTTCTTTTATATTAGCCACTAACTTTACGATTTGTTTCATCGTTAGTCACCGTCCGTCAGTCTCCTTCTGATTTCGTTAGCTCCGTTAATTTTTTAATGACGTGGCAAACGGAACTGTTGACTGTACCGTTAACTTAATGACATGTAAATTAAAAAATAATGAAATAATAATTTACCATTCATTCTCACCAAGCCTCACCCACGCGTCCTCTCCAATTTGTCCGAGTAAAAACAAAACAACAACAACAACATAATCCACCGTCACCACCAGTAATCATCATCGGCAACAAGAATCAAATAATCAATAGCCAAACAATAATATAATAATCAGCCCCACCATTATCCATCTTCGCCACAAATGATCATCGTCGCCAACATAATCTTCATCGCCGCCAACAAAATCTTCATCGCCGCCAACAAATCAATCTAATTATCCAGTTCGCCCAAAAAATCCAAATCGGAACAGCGACAAGATTGAACAGCTTCACCTAACTGAAAGCTTGGGTTCGCTGGCGGGGAGCAGTTCAGGCCTACAGTTCGAGCCACAATGGTCTTTTCTTCTACCTAGAACTCCCAAATCGACGTTTGGACTTCGACTCCAAATCGAATTCGACTCTGTGTCATAGTCAAGAACAACTCAGATAGGGCCGACTCTGCATTTTCAGACTGCTCCACTGCCTTCAATTCCCCTGTACAACGACGGAAACCAAGGCCGTGCCGCTTTCGATTCCCCTCGCCTCGCCTCGCCGCTTTTCTTACAGTTCCCCTTCCCCTTGAAGCCGCCTCCAATCGAGAGGGGAAGAAACTAGAGCTCTCAGATCTGGCCGGCGATTCCAACGAGGGTCGGAGCCAGGTGGGAAAGAGACTACTGGTGGGAAAGGGGGTCACAATAAGATGACGACAGAATCGAGGATGAACTCCTGACTAAGGTAATTCGCCACTTGTGGTGCTTTACGCCACTGTTCTCCTTCTGCCGATTTTGGGGATTTATGTTTCGAAGTGGGTTAGGGATAGGGATATGAAAAGGGAAAGGTTTTACTAGTAATGGAGGAAATCGAGTGTGAGGGGAGAGGAGATGTCGGGTTCTATGGCGGTAAGGCAACGGCGGCGGTAGAACAGGGGACGCGACTCTTAGATTGGAAATCTGGGTTGGGGATAAGGAAGGAGAAAGATTTAGGAGATGAGTTGGGTATTGAGGCTGACTAGGCGGTCAACTTATGTGACTTAGCTTTTTGTCAGTCCACTCAACACTCTCTTTTGCCATGTCATCAGATAACTGACGGTGTTAACGGAGTTTAACGTAGACTGACGGTTGGTGCTTAATGGTAAAACAAATCATAAAGTTAGTGGCTAATATGAAAGAAAAGTAATTCGGGTAGCAAATGTGAAAGAATTATGTAATTTGAGTGACCAAATGTGTAATTTAGCCCCCGCAAAATGGGCATTCTTTACATCCCTTTTGAATTCGGTTCACAATGTTCCCACCTATAGGTAGAATGTTTCGAACCAACTTCCAGGCAAAAACCTTAACCGTAGGAGGAATAGGAAGTTTCCAGATCCAATCTCTCTCAATTGGGGTGTATAACTCTCCTACTTCTTCCTCTTGTCCTTGAATCCATAGTTTGCAGGCCGATTTGACAGAATATTTGCCTAACTTCTCATGACACCATATTCTTTGGTCTTTAGCTAGTTGTCTGGGAATTGATATTTTCAAAATGTGTTATCGATCACTAGGGGTGAAGTATGTCTGCAGAATCGAATGTTTCCATTCTCTTTCTTCCAAATCCATAAGCTCACAAACTAAGGAGTGCTGAGGGAATCCATTTGTCATGCCAGAATTCGATTTGTGGTCGTTTCCAACTCTCCATCCCAAACCTTCCTTTAGAATTCCTTTTGCTGCAATGATGGTTCTCCAACCGTAACTAGGATTTTAGCCTTCATCTGCCTCCAAAATATCCCTCGTAGGGAAATACTTAGCCTTAAAAACTCTTGCCACTAGAGAGGTAGGGTTCTAAATGAGGTTCCGAAGTTGTTTACCCAAAAGATTGAATTCATGGAGATTTTTAAAATCTAGCCCACCTTTAGCCTTTGGACGACATAGCTCGTTCCATCCAACCCAATGAGTCTTGAATTTTTTTCCGTACTGACCCCACCAGAAGTTCGAGATTAAGCTTTGAATTTTCGTAGTTACTACGATAGGTACCAGAAAAACATGCATCGCATAGGTAAATTGATCTTGAGCAACTACCTTAATTGGAACCTCCTTACCCCCAAAAGACAACATCCTACTTTTCCAAAGCTTCACCTTCTTTCGCACCCTCTCAACCAAGTAACTAAATTTCGCAAAAAGCCTAGCTATTGATGAGCCAAGCACAAGATATTAAGATATACTTTAATTGTTTGGTCAATCGTGCGATCTGACTCGATGAAGTACACATATAAGACATGTTTCAAATAAACAATTCATAAATTACTAACTAATTATCTTATAGAAATTTAGGTTATCTTCCATAACTAGCACAATATGAGCTATTGAGCTATATGTAGTAAGGGAAAGAAAAGAAGTGCTCAGTTGTCCCAATTTTATTTTTGAACGAGTTGTCATATTGAATAGAGATTAATTTTGAGAACTGAAGAGTAGTATAAAAGAAAATTGTGATTACTCATACTAGAGAAATTTTTTGAGGAGAAAGTAACTAAAATGAGTTAAGGGTTGTTTATTCATTAGAGAATATGAGATCTATGCTAATTTGTTTTCTTTAATTTACTTTACCGAGTTGAGTCTCATCCTAACTTCAATTACAATTTTATCGGGTAAATTGCATTTTTTTTTTTATCACTGGCTTTACTAATGAATCTCATGTTTAGTCTTTATAAATATTTAATTCTAATGTTGGTCACTCAAATTAGTAAGATGGTCCACGTTTGGTCATTCTCTATTACTCTCGGTCCAACTCTGTTAATGATGGAAAGAGACGATGGGGTTCACTTAGTGGTTGGAGGAGGCGATGTAGAAAGAGAGGTTGAAGGATAGGTGAAGGGAGATCGGAATGAGGGGTTGTGTCATGTGGGATATGGTGCTTTTGGTTTTCTGGTTGAGACTAAGGGTTTAGGGAAGAAGATGGAGAGTTGGGTGCCGGATTGGGTTCAATGGTTGGTTTGGGTAGGCTGATATGGTGGGTTGTGATGACTTGGCGGGTCAGATTTACTATTTTTTGGGTTAAATTAGGTTGATTAGGTGATTTTGTTTGCCACATCAGCATATAACGGACTTCATTAACAGAGTTGGACGGAGACTAATGGAGAGTGACCAAACATGAACCGTTTTACTAATTTGAGTCACCAGCATAGGAATTAAATATTTCTATTGACTAAGCATGAGACTTTTTAGTAAGGCCATTGACCAAACACAATTTACCCCAATTTTACCAAGTCGAATTCGAAATCACCTTTCAAATCTCCTATGAAGTCTAAACCATTTTTTAACATAAATTTGGACCAGGAAAAAGTTCCATCGTTAAAGGTTTTGCAGGACTAATGGTTAACAAATATTACTGCTATAATTAAAAAAATAATAAGGGTAAATGCCACATTTGATCATTGAGGTTACTAAATCATGTCATGTTTAGTCACTAGAAAAAATTAATATCAATTTTGGTCACTCGAATTACTGAAACATGTCACATTAAGTCACTATCCCGTTATTTTCCGTCCAACTTCGTTAATGGAGTTGGACGAAGATATTCCTATGGTGATTTGAAATTATTTTATGATATTTTAATCATTCCTTTTGCTTTGAATAAATTTTGATTTCTCAAGGGCAATTTGGTAGAAGTAGTGCTCGGCCGGGCTAGGGTGTTACAAGTTATTTGTGATTCACATAGGCTGGGGAAGAAACCATTGGTCCTTTATCCCGAGACCGATGAAGTACACATATAAGACATGTGTCAAATAAACAATTCATAAATTACTAACAATTATCTTATAGAAATTTAGGTTATCTTCCTTAACTAGCACAATATGAGCTATATGTAGTAAGGGAAAG